GAGTTAAACATAAAAATCTAATAAAAATTAAAACCAACTTCTCAGTAGCACAAAATAAAAGAATGAAATGTGGACTGTTAAATATCAGGTCTCTGTCCTCTAAAGCTGTTTTATTAAATGAATTAATATCAGATTATAATATTGATTGACTTTGTGTTACTGAGACCTGGTTGTCCCACAATGAGTATGTTACCCTAAATGAATCCATAGTCATATTAATACTCACATTCCTTGAGGCACCGGCCGAGGAGGTGGAGTGGCAGCCATGTATGATTCGAGTGTTTTAATGGAGCCTAAACCTAAACTAAATTATAATTCATTTGAAAGCCTTGTTCTTAGTCTTTCTCACCCAAACTGGAAAACATTGCAGCCAGTTCTATTTGTTATAGTGTACCACGCTCCTGGACCGTACTCTGATTTTATATCTGAATTTTCAGAGTTTCTATCAAGTTTAGTCCTTAAATCAGATAAAGTAATTATTCTAGGTATTTTAATATTCATGTGGATGTTGAAAATGACAGCCTTAGTAACGCATTTATATCATTAATAGACTCAATTGGCTTCTGTCAGTGTAAATAAACCAACTCGTTGTTTTAATCACACTCTTGACCTCGTTCTATCGTATGGCATTGATATTGAACATTTAATAATCATCCCACACAATCCTTTCACTATCTGACCATTATTTTAGAACTTTTGAATTTCTATTATTAGATTATAAGCCATTAGGCAAAACTTCCTACAGCAGATGTCTATCTGACAGTGCTACAACCACCAAACCCGCCAATTGAAGCAAAAAACAAGGAAATCGGAAAGGAAATGGCGCTCTTCGAAATTATTAGAATAGTGCTCAATCTGGCAAGATAATCTTAAAATTTATAGAAAGGCCCTCCGTAATGCCAGAGGAGCCTATTACTCAGCACTAATAGAAGAAAATAAGAATAACCCTAGGTTCCTCTTCAGCACTGTAGACAGGCTGACAGAGAGTCACAGCTCTATTGAGCCACATATCCCCATAAACTTAAGTAGCAATGACTTCATGAGCTTCTTCTATAACAAAATTATTACTATTAGAGAGAAAATGAATCACCAACTGCCATCAACAGTTATCAGTGGCTCTCCAAGTTCAGGGACTTTTGCTAATGTAAACTTAGATATATATTTAGACTGTTTTTCTGCTATCGATCTTCATCAGTTAACTTCAATCATTTCTTCATCGAAGCCATCAACCTGTCTATTAGACCCGATCCCAACTAGGCTGCTTAAAGAAGTTGTTCCCTTAATTGGCACTTCTTTACTGGATATGATTAATCTTTCTTTATTATCAGGATATGTACCACAGTTCTTTAAAGTAGCTGTAATTAAACCCCCTTCTTAAAAAGCCCACTCTTGACCTAGGGGTTTTAGCCAACTATAGACCAATCTCTAACCTCCCCTTCCTCTCTAAGATTCTGGAGAAAGTAGTCGCCAAAGAGTTGTGTGAATTTCTACATAACAATAGTTTATTTGAGGATTTTCAGTCAGGATTTAGAGTTCATCATAGCACAGAGACAGCTCTGGTTAAAGTTAATAATGACCTTCTGATTGCTTCTGACAATGGACTTGTCTCTGTACTTGTATTATTAGATCTTAGTGCTGCATTTGACACCATTGACCATGATATTCTTTTACAGAGACTTGAGCATCAAATTGGCATTAAAGGAACTGCCCTAAGCTGGTTTAAGTCATATTTATCAGATCGTTCGCAGTTTGTACATGTTAACAATGAATCTTCAATAAATACTACAGTTAGTCATGGAGTTCCACAAGGTTCTGTACTTGGACCAATACTATTTACTTTATATATGCTCCCTTTAGGCAACATTATTAGGAATCACTCCATTAACTTTCACTGTTATGCAGATGATACGCAGTTATATCTATCGATCAAGCCCGATGAAATCTAAATTACAAACATGTCTTAAGGACATAAAATCCTGGATGAGCTGCAATTTTCTGATGTTAAACTCAGAAAAAAACGAAATTCTTGTACTTGGCCCCAAAAACCTTAGAAACTCACTGTCTAAAGATATACTTACTCTAGACGCCATTAACTTGGCCTCTAGCACCACTGTCAGGAATCTTGGAGTCTTTGATCAGGATTTGTCATTTAATTCCCACATAAAGCAGACTGAACAGAAACTGAACTGACTGCTGCAGCTGGAAGCTACTGCAGAGACTGATACACTTCACTGAGGACACATACACAGACACACACATACACATTAAGATGGTAACAAAGGGGTAATATGTTTCACTAACAAGACTCAACAGGTCATAATGTGGTTATTACAGATGTAACAACAGCTCATGGGGCAGGGGGACAGTGGGAATTGGGAGAGGGACAGAAAAAGTAAATTGTTTAGCAGACATGGGATGTATCTTAAATCATTTATCAGAATGAGATCATTTTTTTATATCATTTATATTGTTTATGATAGATAATCAGTGTGTTTTCATTCCTGATTCGCATACTCAAACTAAAAATCACCCAAACTATTGCTACACATCACATGACAGCCACTGGTGTCCAGGTTTTGAAAAGTCACTGACATTTCTCAACCTCATACAAAGGAGGTGAATGAAATGTTCACACACTGCTCTGTGGACAGTTTGCATAGGGAGTAGTTCTTCAGAGTTAAATTGTTCCTGTATTACTGTGTTCTTTGAATCATCTATTCACCTCCATTGAGTTGGACACCATTTTGCTACTGTAGTTTTAAAAATGCTTTCTCTTTGCTGAAAGCTCTACAAATGAAATTTCTTCCACCTACATTTTATTGGGGTGGAGGCAGAAATCTCAGGCACTAATGTCTCAAACCCTGAATATTAAATCATATGTTCACAGAGAGATACCACTGGGAAAAGAGAAACTAATTTATTTTACACATACAGTGTATTTGAGGAGAGGAAAATAATGTTCTGTGAAGCACCGTAAAGTTCTCAAACACAACAATGCAACTCCCAAATATTGATGTACATCCCTATTGTAAGGTTTTATTCTTATATCATCACTCATTATGGTTCTTAAGTTGAATCTATGTTTCATGAAACACTGAAGTTCTGTGTGTGCAATGAAGCAACAGCTGCACTGAGGGGGAAACACCATGATATGTTGAGGACAGCTACAGTTCACTGACTCTGTGTGTTTGCATATGTGTCCTTCCTCTCTGCTCCCAGCCGTTAAGAGGCCAGTGTTGATCAGTGGCTGTCCAGGCCTTTCAGAGCCACTGACACGCCGGCAGCACAATGATAATGTCACTGACTCTACTGCTGGCCACCCTGGGGCTCCTTGTTCAGGGTGAGACTCTCTTCTGAAAACTTTGCTTCAGGATGCAACCAGGTTCACCACAATGATGTTCTGCTATGATGGAGAAACACTGAAACAAGCAGCATTTACCTTCTTCCATCTATTCTCCATGTTAAAGAAATGATACTCTTCTGTTTGGATGTTGATCATCTTTCTCCAAACTGGATTTGTCTCAATAACCCTTCTCCTCTTTTTCATGTTTTCCAGATTCATCAGGAGAAATCATCCTGACTCAGTCTCCTAAAGCTCAGTCTGTTGTTCCAGGACAGACTGTCTCTATCAGATGTAAAGCCAGTTCAAGTATGGGCAGCTATCTTCACTGGTACCTTCAGAAACCCGGAGAATCTCCCAAACTTTTGATTCGTTATGCCACAACTCGTCAGGCTGGAGTTTCAAATCGTTTCAGTGGGAGTGGATCTGGAACTGACTTCACTTTGACCATCAGTACAGTTCAGAATGAGGATGCAGGAGTTTACTATTGTCTTCAGAGTGGTTACAGTTTCCCGTTCACACAGTGATACAACGTCGTACAAAAACCTCCCTCAGCTGGAGAGGAACTGATCTGTATCTACAGCTGCACATGAATTGAAAAGTAGATGTTTGATTAAAATACAGTATAATCACTAAAGGCCAAATAAACTAGAATAATGACACTTTCAGAATTAAAATATATTTTATATTCCTGTCAAATATAGTTTTTAGTCTATTTTTTCTGTAGTTTGTACTATAAATGTAATTTTGCTGAGAATTGGAACAACAGCTATACAAATTTAAGAGAAGTTATAACAGCTAATCAATAAACCAATACAGTTATATATGAATGTTCAATAAATGCTCAATTCATGTATTTTTGCTTCAAATAGCAAGAGACATCATAATGTCAAATTCATATGAAAAACATTATTTCACCCATTAACTAAACACAATTAATTCCTGCTATTTGAATTGTTCAGTATTGCTGATACATTTTATGACAGTCAGCTGCTTTGTGTCTCACTGTTTACAGCATAATTAATTTCACAGTAGGACACTGACCTTTTTTTGTAAAATCACAAATGTTTATAACATCCTTGAAATCTCACCCTAAGAAAAAAAATGTCTTTGATTAAAAGGATCCACTGTTTTGATAAAAGAGAGAATTATGACAGCAGTTATATGTACAGTTATAATATACATGCACACAACTGACTTACTGCAGTGTTACAGTGTTACAGTGTTACTGCAAGCTGTGAATAGTGACAGAGACTGTTCTATCCTCACTTTTTCAGTTACACTGTCTCTTTTATGTGTTATCTTGAATTAGATTCATGTTTTATCACATTATGCAGATGATACATTGCTTTTAAGTTCTAATTGTGAATATCCTTATCATGGTTTTGATTTCTCATTATCTCATACATATTAATCTTGTTTAAGAGTATAATAAAAGAAAGCTTTCTGGTTTGCATTTGAAATGATCTTACCTTGTTTTCAATAAATTTAATTAATATAGAAAAATCTGAAGTACATATAGCAGAATTAACCCTAACCTTAACCCTTAAACAATTCAAAACTAATCTGGACGAATTGACTTGTTACTATTGTGACTTTTCAAAGAAAACTGATTAATGTTCCAAATATATTTTGTCAAATGATGTAAGCCAAAACTCACTTTTATAACACACATTGTAAAATCTTTATTTTCTTCAAAATTTTAAACCCATGAACACAAGCAAGAAGAAGTTAATGTGTGAACATGCCATGAGAGAAAGGGAGAAAGAGAGAAAAAGAGAAAGAGAGAGCATAATGAGAGCAAAACAAGTAGCAGAGTCCCAGTGAGTCAGGTCAGAACTGGGAACACTGGTCTCTCCTCAGTGTCTCTGAGAGCGGAGTCTGGGAGCCCTGGGTGGCCTCACAGGTCACAGAGCCCACCTTCCTCCAGTGGTCTGCAGAGAGCCTCAGGGTGCTGCTCCAGCTGTAGTGGCCGTCCTTCAGCACCCCGGGGCTCCTGGTCTCCTTCCAGCTGCTGCTGCTGCTGCTGCCGTCCACCTTCCAGGACAGACTCCAGTCTGAGGGGAAGCCCTTGTTGGCCAGACACATGAGGGTGGCCTTCCCCTGCTGCAGCTCCTCACTGGAGGGAGGCAGCACCGTCAGGGTGGGACGGACATCACCTAGGAGACACCAATCAGCTTAGAGGACAGGGACCACACAGCTGTCAATCAAGCAGCAGACACTTGGACACCTTTACTGTGTGAGAGTTGATTTTCTCCTTTAAGGAGTTTCTGTCAGATGGTTTTTCTGCTCCACCAGTCACTCACTCACACATTGTTTCACTTCCCTTTAAGAAGCCTCTCATGCATATCAGCACAGAGAGAATCATCATACAGAATGAGCTGAAATATATCAAACTACACTGGAAATAAAATATCAAAAACTGTATCATCAAAATCATCCAAAACCTGAACTATACATTACTTTAAAGTATTTAGAGGAAACATGAACAAACACAGAAAATGAACTGACTACAATCAAATGTTCTTCATGTGGATTTCAATCATCATTACCAAACGTTTCAACAGATTTTAAACTTGAAGCAATCTGTGACACAATGAAGAGATTTCGAAGATTTTCAAATACCAAGCTTTATCTTCACTCTGTATAATTTTATTTTAATAGCTTAATCTCAACTCATTCAAAAACAGCTATTAGGAATGTGGACAAATAAACGCGCATGTGTGAAGACATTTATAAAACGGTTAGCAGTTTTATCTTTTCTACACTTTGGGCTGTTTAAATTTCAGTTTGAAAAAATCTGTATTAAAATTAAAACAAGATATATTTATCATCCTCAGGCAACCAATACTGAATATAAAATATTACTTTACAATGTTGTAATATTTAATATCAATGCAGAAACTTACTTCCAACATCCAGTCTGGTTCCTCCACCAAAAGTCCACCACAGTGATACAAACTCATTGAGCCGCCGTACAAAAACCTCTCACTGTAGAGAGACACGGCTCTCTGACTTTGACACTAACAAACTCAACTAAATGATTCTTCTTGTAAAACCTTGTCATCTGACAAGAACAATAACAATTACCAGAAACTTCCGAGATGTATTTATATATTTGTTAACATAAGATAAGAAAGGATAAGATGTACCTTTATTGATCCCCTGTAGAAGAAATTCAAATGAGACACAGCAGCATAGGCCAATGTAGTGCAAAGAGTACAGAAGTACAATTAGAATCGCAAAATAGGAATTTTAAGAAATATAGCAGAAAATATAGACTATAAATGAAAAGCATATACACTATATGCAATATGCAAGTAAAATGGTGGGGTGAAAATATGGAAAGGGATCGGGGGAGGGAGGAAGTGGAGGGGGGTTAAGGGGAGAAAGGGCTGTTGTCTGGGTAAAGAAGGGAGAGGGGTGGGGTAGCCAAGGTGTGAATGAGGGTACCTGAGGAGGTGGAGGGCGTTTGTGAATCAAACATGTTGAAATACAGGTTTAACTCGTTGGCACATCCCTTTGTCCCCTCTACTGAACCTACTGACCTTTTCATGCCAGTAATGCTCCTCACCCCCCTGTAACAGTCCATCAAGGCCTCCTCTGCCTCCACCGACCACTGCTGCACAGTGCTGGTGGTGATGGACTGTCTCCTATATAAAATACATATTTCTAAATAAATTTGAAATGTAAAGAAAATATTTCCATTAGAATAGAACCAAAATTATATGAACTAGTTATTGTGTGTTTCTGAATCAGCAATCCATTAAAGTGATTGATCCATTGATAAACAGCATCATGAGAGGAATCCAAGTCCCTGTTGGAGTCAGTCAGAGCATTTCCATAGAGAGCCACTTTGCATCAGCAGCACCATGCTCCAGTGCTCTGGGAGAGTTTATAGTCCTGAGAGTTGAACACTGGATGACTGACAGCTGTCCTTCATGACAACAGAAGACACAGAAATCCTCCTCATCAAAAACATGACTTTGATCTCCGTCCTCATCTGGACTCTCCTCTGCTGCTGCTTCACAGGTAAAGTCCAGAGAATCAAATTCCTCTCCTCTATGAACATCCGTCCCTCTGAAATGAAGCCCACAAAACCATGACGCTGCTTTATGTTTTTGTCTCTGTATCCTCAGAGTCCAGAGGCCAGGTCACAGTGACTCAGTCTGGAGCAGTGAGCTCTGCTCTGGGACGCTCCGTCACCATCACATGTAGGACCAGTCAAGATATTTATAGTTCTTCATCTTTATCCTGGTACCAACAGAGAGATGGAGAAACTCCTAAACTGCTCATTTACTATACTAGCACTCAAGCATCAGGGATTCCAGATCGTTTTACAGGCAGTGGATCAAACTCTGACTTCACTCTGACCATCAGTGGAGTCCAGACTGAAGATGCAGCAGCTTACTACTGTATGGGTGTTCATTACATCAACAGTCAGTGGTTGTTCACACAGTGAAAAAGCGTCGTACAAAAACCTCCCTCAGTCAGACTGAACAGAAACTGAACTGACTGCTGCAGCTGGAAGCTACTGCAGAGACTGATACACTTCACTGAGGCACACACACACACACACACACACACACACACACACACACACACACACACACACTAAGATGGTAACAGTGGGGTCAGTAACAGGACTCAACAGGTCATAATGTGGTTATTACAGATGTAAGAACAGCTCATGGGGCAGGGGGACAGTGGGAATTGGGAGAGGGGCATAGAAAGTAAATAGTTTAACAGACATGGGATGTATATTTAATCATTTATCAGAATAGGATCATTATATCATTTATATTGTTTATAATAGATTATCAGTGTGTTTTCTTGCCTGATTCACTCACAGAAACAATAGAAAATCACTCAAACTATTGCTACACATCACATGACAGCCATGAAGGGGCCCAAACAAAGCCTAGCCTAGGGGCCCATGACCGACTTAATCCACCACAGGTAACAGCATAACAATTATTGGCGGAAAAATCAACGTTGTTCATTAGTTTCCTTAATGTAAAAGGCAGCAGGTATGATTTATTTATCCAGGTTTTGAAACGTCACTGAGATTTCTCAACCTCATACAAAGGAGGTGAATGAAATGTTCACACACGGCTCTGAAGAAATACTCTCTATGAAAACTGTTAAATTGTTCCTGTATTACTGTTTTCTTTGGATCATCTATTCACCTTCATTGAGTTCTTTATAAAAAATCATGTTTCTGCTCATGTTTTGAAATTCTTCATCTTTGCTGAAAGCTCTATAAATGAAATTTCTTCCACCTGCATTTTATTGGAGTGGAGGCAGAAATCTCAGGCACTAACGTCTGAAAGAGATACCACTGGGCAAAGAGAAACAAATTTATTTTACAGGTATTTAGGGTTAACTGACCCGCAGTTTATTCAAGGAAAAGAAAAAAATGTTCTGTGAAGCACCGTAAAGTTCTCAAACACAACAATGCAACTCCCAAATATTGATGTACATCCAGGCCCCGAGTGGCTAATCGGGAGGACCGGGACAATTCCCGGTGGGCCGGTCTGACTTTTGGGCCGGTGCTCAGTCATGGCACTTAGTGGGTATCACGTGTATGCTGTTACCGCTGTTGCTGGGCCGTCTCCACTTGCAGCTCTTTTCTTTTTCTTTTTTTTGCAGACGCAGCCTGAAGTAACACGTCCGTGCACACCACACACTGTCAGTGGTGTTTGTAGCCTGGCTCCAGCCCCAGAAGTGCAAGGGTGTTTGCAAAATGGAAAATAAAAAGAGCAAGGGTGGCGCAGAAAAAGCGAGAATTAAAAAGAGAAAAGCACTGGAGACAGATGCAGCCAAATGTGCAGCTTTTTCAATAAAACGTGCTCGTGGTCTGAAACGACCAATGAAGATGATGAAACGGGTAAGACAAGATGTTGAACAAAATGCAACTTTACCTGCACCGTTCAAGGTAATTAATTAGTCTATCAAGTCAATGAATTGCGTGGCGTTGTAACATATAGCCTGTCTAACCTAACGTTACATAATTTAAATGCGACGCCACATAACTGGCCACAAACTTTGTCTTGTAGCCCCTCAGATGCAAGATGCATCACCAAGCACCAGCCATGAGCCCACAGGTCCAGAGTGTGCAGGTAGGATTGCTCATTAAGTGAATATTATTAGAATGAATATAATGAAGAGTATGGTGTAGACCTGCTCTATATGATAAATGCCCTGAGATAATTGATGATGATAGAAGATTCAGCACTACAATAATGAAAACTGACTTGAATTTTTGACTTGAAAAAGGGGAGATTTGTGTTGAGATTTATGACCATTTTTATGATTTAGTGTCAGAGGCAGAACCAGGAGCCAGTGGTGAGGAAGAAACAGGTAAGCTAGTGTGTGAACAGGCAAGCATCAGTTCCAATAAAACCACTTTTCTATGCCCAAATGATAGTAGTGGCCCGTTATACTTTTTATCATTAGTAATAGTAAAGTAATATGGAATAAGCCTGCCTATTTTGCCACTGAACTAAATCTTAATTGGTTCAGTCAAAACATGTTTTCCATGTTAAATATGCTAAAGCCTTACAGATTATTGTTTTTTTATGTGATACAGGTGCAGGCAAGTCTAGGGAAACTGGAGGAAGTGTGAAAGGGAGAGCAGTGTCTACTCAGGGACTGATTACAGAGGCAGCAGCTCAGCAGCAGAACCCTGAACCACAAGATAGGAATGAGACAGATGAAGATGAGTCTGTTGATAGTTTTGACTACTTTGCTCGCCCTCAGTCACATAATATACATATTTTTTTTTCTTATCATCCTCAACAAACCCCTAATATTGCTATACCAAAAGTTTTCAATAGCAAAGATGGATTGTGTTCATCTCATCCTCTCTCAGTACAATCTGCAGTGCAACCCTTTTTTTTATTTTTTCAAATTTAATATTTTATTTATTATTTTTTTAATTTGTTGAAAAGGATGTTGTGTTGCAATGAATAATGGTGGAGATGTGCACTCAATTTGAAATAAATCCACATTGTGAAGCAACCATTACTTCCACTGAATTGGAATTATTTTACAAAAATTACAAGGCTTTAGAGAACAGTGCGCTATTGTAGGCTTAACATGTAAAGTTATAATTTATAATTACATTATTTTAATATGATAGGTCGTGATTTAAAGTGGGCCGATCTGAGGCATGAAACTCCAGGGCTGAAAATGAGTCCCACTCCTGCCCTGTGTACATCATTATTGTAAGGTATTATTCTCATATAATCACTCATTATGGTTCTTAAGTTGAATCTATGTTTCATGAAACACTGAAGTTCTGTGTGTGCATTGAAGCAACAGCTGCACTGAGGGGGAAACACCATGATATGTTGAGGACAGCTACAGTTCACTGACTCTGTGTGTTTGCATATGTGTCCTTCCTCTCTGCTCCCAGCAGTTAAGAGGCCAGTGTTGATCAGTGGCTGTCCAGGCCTTTCAGAGCCACTGACACGCCGGCAGCACAATGATAATGTCACTGACTCTACTGCTGGCCACCCTGGGGCTCCTTGTTCAGGGTGAGACTCTCTTCTGAAAACTTTGCTTCAGGATGCAACCAGGTTCACCACAATGATGTTCTGCTATGATGGAGAAACACTGAAACAAGCAGCATTTACCTTCTTCCATCTATTCTCCATGTTAAAGAAATGATACTCTTCTGTTTGGATGTTGATCATCTTTCTCCAAACTGGATTTGTCTCAATAACCCTTCTCCTCTTTTTCATGTTTTCCAGATTCATCAGGAGAAATCATCCTGACTCAGTCTCCTAAAGCTCAGTCTGTTGTTCCAGGACAGACTGTCTCTATCAGATGTAAAGCCAGTTCAAGTATGGGCAGCTACCTTCACTGGTACCTTCAGAAACCCGGAGAATCTCCCAAACTTTTGATTCATTATGCCACAACTCGTCAGTCTGGAGTTTCAAATCGTTTCAGTGGGAGTGGATCTGGAACTGACTTCACTTTGACCATCAGTACAGTTCAGATTGAGGATGCAGGAGTTTACTATTGTCTACAGAGTGGTTACAGTTACCCGTTCACACAGTGATACAACGTCGTACAAACACCTCCCTCAGCTGGAGAGCAACTGATCTGAATCAACAGCTGCACAGAAATACAGACACTTTAGACATTTAACAGACAGTGAAGTCCATATAACAGAAGACCATCAGTAAATATGATGTATAGCGTAGTAAGTCCTAATGGTAACTTTGTTGAAATAGAGTAGGAAATAAGTTTGATACATCCATTGTAGATTAGTTGAAAGGTAGATGAGTTATTACAGATAACAAGACATTAACACTTTTTTTCATTTGCTTTGAAATAGAAAATTTACTTTCAAGTTTTTTAAAGTAGTTTAGATGTCCTTTTAATTTCATATTATTCATATTTAAGTCAGAGTTTAGTTTTCAACAAACGTAAACACACTACACATTTTAAAGAACTTGTGTTCATATGAAAACACATAAGTTATGTAATATTTTGCCAACAACCTGCAAATACTGATAATAATCTTACATAATATGCCGATAATATCCCATTTTATAATTCAAATGATTTCTTATTAGATTTTGTAGTTTACTCAGATTCATTTTACTTTCTGAACACTCCTGAATCTATTTTAACGTAACACAAATTTCTATCAATGGAACACTTTGTTTATAAGACACATACATTATAACTAATGATCCTGAAGATCTAACTTTATTGATCAACTTTGTTACAAAAAAATAATACATGATTAGCGTAAAGAAGAAGTTCATGTCGTCACAAATGCTTGAAGGAATTTGAAGAAAATTATTAGTTTACATTGATGATGTTGGGTCACAATTAGAACTGATAAATGATTATCTGATAAGTTTTATTTTTTCTGAAGAATGAGGAGAGATATTAAAATTTTTGTTCTACATTTTATTCTTTTCCTAAACTTTACCTAAGATTTTTGAAACTCGATCTGAAGTTTTTTCAGTTTTTCTGGATTTAATGGAACTATTAAGACACCAACATCAGTTTACAGTAACATACATGACAACAACTGATTTGATGAACTGGTCTTTATTGTGTTGAAATAATCAAAATAAAAAATTGAATCAATGAAACATGTAATCAGAGAGTAAGAAGAGGTAAAGAAAGATTAAGACAGGTAATGAGAGAGTGCAGACGGAGAGCAGTAGCATGCATGTTCAGCCTGTATATTTCAGATTTCTTTTCATTCAAGTTTTGCAGGTTTGACCAAGTCTTCAGCAGATGAGGTTAAATATCATCAATCACATGTTTGAGTGAGATTTAGTTGTCTAGATTTAACTAGAAAGAGTTTCAAACATATGTCAGTTGTTTTTTCTAAACATTATATGAACATCCACATAAGTTGTTGTGCACATACACGTGTCCAGGTCAGCCCCACCCAAATTAAAATATGTTCCCCCACACGTCTGAGTGTCTCCTTGAGCTCAGGAAGTTTTTTAAAACTGACTCTGATGGAAAAAGGATTTTTTAAATGTGTGTGAACAAAGTTGTTTCATGTCTTTCTCACACAGACATGAAAAAGTGTCCAGTTTGGGGAAACCTGATGAAACAGGCTGTATGCACATTATTCACTCATGCTACATTTTTTAGATTGTATTAAGTATCAACAATGCTGACAAAATCTTATTCTGCCATTGGTTATAATCCTGCACATGTGAAAATATGGAATTAGACATCTGTTTTTAGTGTACAGGGATCCATGAAAGAAACATTTGATCTAAATAAAGAAAATATCTTTATTGGCTTACAGCATTAACAGCGTCGGCATTATTGGAACAATAAAGATGTCATAATCTGAAGTTCAATTCTGTTAAAGTGGTGGAATGATAGAGAGTGCAAATTTAGGCTTTAGCAAGGTAAAAACAGAAGCAGAGTCCCAGTGAGTCCGGTCAGTACTGAGAACATGGTCTCTCATACATTTCCATAGAGAGCCACTTTGCATCAGCAGCACCATGCTCCAGTGCTCTGGGAGAGTTTATAGTCCTGAGAGTTGAACACTGGATGACTGACAGCTGTCCTTCATGACAACAGAAGATACAGAAATCCTCCTCATCAAAAACATGACTTTGATCTCCGTCCTCATCTGGACTCTCCTCTGCTGCTGCTTCACAGGTAAAGTCCAGAGAATCAAACTCCTCTCCTCTATGAACATCCGTCCCTCTGAAATGAAGCCCACAAAACCATGACGCTGCTTTATGTTTTTGTCTCTGTATCCTCAGAGTCCAGAGGCCAGTACACAGTGACTCAGTCTGGAGCAGTGACCTCTGCTCTGGGAGGCTCTGTCACCATCACATGTAGGACCAGTCAGAATGTAAATGGGAACTACCTTTCCTGGTACCAACAGAGAGATGGAGAAACTCCTAAACTGCTCATTTACTATGCTAGCACTCGAGCATCAGGGATTCCAGGTCGTTTTACAGGCAGTGGATCAAACTCTGCCTTCACTCTGACCATCAGTGGAGTCCAGACTGAAGATGCAGCAGTTTACTACTGTATGGGTGAATTCTACGCCAACAGCCAGTATTCGTTCCCACAGTGAAAAAGCGTCGTACAAAAACCTCCCTCAGTCAGACTGAACAGAAACTGATCTGACTGCTGCAGCTGGAAGCTACTGCAGAGACTGATACACTTCACTGAGGACACACACACACACACACACACACACACACACACACACACACACACCATGTACTATAATAAAAACAGTGACAAATAATAATGTCCATCGCAACATATCAGCATCCATTAATACTGCATTATAATCCCATGTTCTTATCTGATTTCCAAATGAATAAAAGGGACCCAAATTGGGAGAGTGAATGGTAGACCTTCAGGCAGACAATTTACGCTTGAAATGTTTATTACAGCAGTATAGCATATTTAGATTTTAGCATCAAGGCTCCGACCTAATCATTCCCCACATATATGTTTACATAGAGTTATTGGGGAGTGATGGGTAGATACCTTAAACCCCCCCAAAACTGCACAGAATAGAGCGTTACGTTACTAGTAGGAGGATCTTCTATGTGTGGGCCTTGGCACCAGCCGCTGTGTGGCTATTCCCTGTGAGAACCTCAAGCCATGAGGGAATATACTACTTAGCAAAACCTCTAGCAGGAACATTTCCCATATAGCAAATATATAAATACTCTAAACCCAGCAACCACCTGATATGCAAAGAAATAATTAGGCAGCAGATACAGATATTTATACTCGATCTTTTGAGGAACATGGTCAGCGGGTCTATACGATGCTAATGAGAAACGGTATGCCTCTATGGCGCTTTACCTTTACTTTTTGGAGATGCAATGTTTGAATTAGCAGTGTTTGAACCTGAGTCCTGGACACCAGCGGAACTGAGAGGTAAGTAAAGAGCTCTTCATGGCCAAGGCCTGAAGGAACTGAGATGTCGTGAGCATTCATGCGGGTGATGCGGCAGATAAGGCGCGGAGCAGGGGTCTCTGAGTCATTTTTAGAGCGAACCTCAGCGGACCGAGCCTGGGTTTCAGGGATGAAGCCAATATCTTCCCCTGAGGACAGAGAACCACTCTCTGAGTCAGAGACGACGAGAGACATAGTGCCCAATAAAGCCAAAAGGTAGGATGTCCAGCTCTACATCTCCACCAAATCCATCACCTCTGCCACTCACTCCACTCTCTCCAACTGCCTCACTGACATTAAATCCTGGATGCACACCAACTTCCTTAAACTTAACTGGGACAAAACAGACATGATCATCATCGGTCCCAAATCCATCACTAAAACCATTCACAGTTTCTCCCTCACTGTCGACACCTCCACTCTGTCTCCATCCCCTCACAGTCGCAACCTCGGAGTCATCTTTGACAATAACCTCTCCTTTGAACACCACATAAAACAAATCACCAGGCCTTCTTTCACCTCAAAAACATCGCCCGACTCCGCCCATCATTCTCTTTCTCCGCTGCAGAAACCCTCATCCACGCCTTCATCACCTCCAGAATCGACTACTGCAACAGCATCCTGTACGGCACACCATCCAAAACCTTAAATAAACTCCAGTACATCCAGAACTCTGCTGCTCGTCTGCTCACCCACACCCGCACCCGTGACCACATCACCCCTGTGCTCCAGAACCTGCACTGGCTCCCGGTCCCACAACGAATTCAATTCAAAATCCTCCTCCTCACACACAAAGCCCTCCATAACCAGGCCCCTTCCTACCTTACTGACCTGCTCCACCGCCACAATCCATCCCGTAGCCTCCGCTAATCTGACGCAAACCTCCTGTCTCCACCACCCAGGACCAAGCACCAAACCTGGGGCGACAGAGCCTTCTCCGTTGCTGCCCCCTCCCTCTGGAACTCTCTCCCCAAACAAATCCGTGACTGCACCGACCCTACAGCGTTCAAATCATTGACAAAAACTCACCTTTTTAAAATTGCTTTTAATGTTTAGCTTAGTCCGATGTGTTTTCAGTGTTTTTACTATTTGATGCTGTTTTCGCTGCTTTTATGATTTTATGTAAAGTGTCTTTGAGTATTCAGAAAAGCGCTTACAAATAAAATGCATTATAATTATTAAAGGGCCGCAGGTCAGATTTGAACCCTGGGCCACTGCAGCAAGGACTTGGCCTCAGTACATGGGCTGCAAGCTCTACTGACTGAGCTAACCGGGTACCCTATTTATATTACATTTTAACAACAAACTGCTGATATTGATAATATGATGACATAATATGTTGATAATGTCCTACTTTATAATTAAAATGCAATCAAACTTTGTTACAAATAAATATATTCATGGTTACTGTAATGAAGAAGTTCATGTCCTCACAAATGCTTTAAGGAACCTGGAGAAAATGATTAATTTACTTTAATGATGTTGGGTCACAACAAGCGCTGATGAATGATTATCTGATTACTTTTATTTTTTTCTAAATATCAAGGAGAGATATTAAAAATCTATTAAATGGTGTATTTTTTTCTGAAGACATTACCTGATATTTTTTAATATAGTGGAGTTCAACGTTTACAGTAACATACATGACAACAACTGATTTGATGAACTGGTCTTTATTGTGTTGAAATAATCAAAATAAACGAATTAAATCAATGGCACACGTATTTAGAGAGTGGGTGAGGAAAAGAAAGAGAGAGAAAGATAATGAGAGAGCGCAGACGGAGAGCAGTAGTAGATTAAAACCCGTATCAGAGTCCCAGTGAGTCAGGTCAGAACTGGGAACACTGGTCTCTCCTCACTGTCTCTGAGAGCGGAGTCTGGGAGCCCTGGGTGGCCTCACAGGTCACAGAGCCCACCTTCCTCCAGTGGTCTGCAGAGAGCCTCAGGATGCTGCTCCAGCTGTAGTGGCCGTCCTTCAGCACCCCGGGGCTCCTGCTCTCCTCCCAGCTGCTGCTGCTGCTGCTGCCGTCCACCTTCCAGGACAGACTCCAGTCTGAGGGGAAGCCCTTGTTGGCCAGACACATGAGCGTGGCCTTCCCCTGCTGCAGCTCCTCACTGGAGGGGGGCAGCACTGTCAGGGTGGGACGGACATCACCTAGGAGACACCAATCAGCTTAGAGGACAGGGACCACACAGCTGTCAATAAAGCAGCAGACACTTGGACACCTTTACTGTGTGAGAGTTGATTTTCTCCTTTAAGGAGTTTCTGTCAGATGGTTTTTCTGCTCCACCAGTCACTCACTCACACATTGTTTCACTTCCCTTTAAGAAGCCTCTCATGCATATCAGCACAGAGAGAATCATCATACAGAATGAGCTGAAATATATCAAACTACACTGGAAATAAAATATCAAGAACTGTATCATCAAAATCATCCAAAACCTGAACTATACATTACTTTAAAGTATTTAGTGGAAACATGAACAAACACAGAAAATGAACTGACTACAATCAAATGTTCTTCATGTGGATTTCAATCATCATTACCAAACTGTAACTTTAAAACAATATATAACACTATGAAGAGATTTTGAACATTTACTCATCTTTATCTTCACTATGTTCAATTTGACTACAATAACTTATCTTAATTTATTTAAAAACAGTTATTTCTGACATGGAAAAGTAAATATGAAACCTTTGTACAAAAAGGTTTGCAGTTTTATCTTTTCTACACTTCAAGCTGTTTGAATTTCAGTTTGACAGGAATGTGTAAAGAACAAAGAGTTAGCCTCCATGATGAAGGAGGACAAGTACAAATATGAATACTAAGTGTTTAAATTAAAACAAGATATATCTGTCTGCTTCAAACAACCAAAAACTGAATTTAAAACATTACTTTACAATATTATATTTAGTATTTGTGCAGAAACTTACTTCCAACATCCAGTCTGGTTCCTCCACCAAAAGTCCACCACAGTGATACAAACTCATTGAGCCGCCGTACAAAAACCTCTCACTGTAGAGAGACACGGCTCTCTGACTTTGACACAAACAAACTCAGAAAACACATTCCCAGTTTACCTAGTTCCTGTAATAATTGGTTAAAGTTTCTAAAACATAAACAAGGAATATATATATGTATTTTGTGAAATATGCCTTCTTACTTTTTCTTTCATTAAAACATTGAAATAAGATATTTCTAAAGAAAAACTCTCTAGTCAATCCTGACAAAGGTTAAATAATAATTTAGATCATGATTAATATAAAATAAATACATATGAATTGAACTGAATCATTTTGTTTAAATGTGTCCCACAGTGATGTTGATCTGTGTGGTAGTGAATTAGGGGGAATTCACTAAATATTCTGGAAGAAAATGTGTCCATCAAACTGAAAGCAAAGCCTCATACAAATGAGCACTGACACATTCCTAATCAATACTCTGATAAAGTGATTGATCCATTGATAAACAGCATCATGAGAGGAATCCAAGTCCCTGTTGGAGTCAGTCAGAGCATTTCCATAGAGAGCCACTTTGCATCAGCAGCACCATGCTCCAGTGCTCTGGGAGAGTTTATAGTCCTGAGAGTTGAACACTGGATGACTGACAGCTGTCCTTCATGACAACAGAAGACACAGAAATCCTCCTCATCAAAAACATGACTTTGATCTCCGTCCTCATCTGGACTCTCCTCTGCTGCTGCTTCACAGGTAAAGTCCAGAGAATCAAACTCCCTCTCCTCTATGAACATCCGTCCCTCTGAAATGAGGCCCACAAAACCATGACGCTGCTTTATGTTTTTGTCTCTGTATCCTCAGAGTCCAGAGGCCAGGTCACAGTGACTCAGTCTGGAGCAGTGAGCTCTGCTCTGGGAGGCTCAGTCACCATCACATGTAGGACCACTCCTAAGGTTTATACTTGGAGCAGCTACCACTATTTAGCTTGGTACCAACAGAGAGATGGAGAAACTCCTAAACTGCTCATTTATGCTGCTAGCACTCGAGCATCAGGGATTCCAGGTCGTTTTACAGGCAGTGGATCAAACTCTGACTTCACTCTGACCATCAGTGGAGTCCAGACTGAAGATGCAGCAGTTTACTACTGTCAGAGTTTTCATGACATCAACAGTCAGGCTGTGTTCACACAGTGAAAAAGCGTCGTACAAAAACCTCCCTCAGTCAGACTGAACAGAAACTGAACTGACTGCTGCAGCTGGAAGCTACTGCAGAGACTGATACACTTCACTGAGGACACACACACACACACACACACACACACACACACACACACACACACACACACACACACACAAACACAGACACAATAAACATTTATTAAAATTGACAAAAGAATAATCTCACAGTAAATCGAATTACATTCTCCATCACAGCTTCTTTCAAAATCCCATGTTCCCAGGGAGAATGAAGGAGAAAATTCTTGATTTTGACCTTTGACCTCTGCTTTATACTGGATTACAGATTCTTCAACTTCATCCTGTCATTAAATAATAAAAAGACACCAATCAGGAATCTTCATTACCAAAGATTGACCAAACAAACCCGTAGGCCTACATCCCCATTTCACTCAGTATTGATTGAATAGACTTTTGTTTATTAAAGAAAATCTCATTATGACTGGAATCCTAACATTAGAATACCTCTATGATATAATTATATCTGCATACAGTATATTTCAATATAATTATCTTTAACTGCATAAAACATGCAAAAATACATTTTCTCTAACACTGTATAAAGGTGAATTCTTTACCTTGAAAACAATTTTAAAAAATATTTGTGGAACATCCATCCACTAACTGAAACTGTAAATCATATCACATGATCTTCTTCAGCGGATGGAGTCTCCCGGTTGTCATTCAATTGTAGTTGTTCGAATTCCCATTTCTGTGAGCATTTTTAGAACTTCTTGTACATGTTGGCTTCTATTCCATCACAACTTGGTGAACTCCATCTGCTGAGGAAGACCATGTAGTTAAATCACAAGCTCCAAAACAGCTACTGAGAAATGGTTTTGATTGTTACCCATAAACTATCAGTTGCAACTTTTCAGTCAACATCTACCAGAAATCCTTAAAGTGCAACATAAAGACCTTCAGAATACTCACATTACTGCTCACAGCTGTAACTACAAGATGTTTCAATATCCTCTACAGGTAAATATGTAAATATGTAGGACAATGCTCTCAGCACTGAGGGGGAAACACCATGATATGTTGAGGACAGCTACAGTTCACTGACTCTGTGTGTTTGCATATGTGTCCTTCCTCTCTGCTCCCAGCCGTTAAGAGGCCAGTGTTGATCAGTGGCTGTCCAGGCCTTTCAGAGCCACTGACACGCCCGGCAGCACAATGATAATGTCACTGACTCTACTGCTGGTCACCCTGGGGCTCCTTGTTCAGGGTGAGACTCTCTTCTGAAAACTTTGCTTCAGGATGCAACCAGGTTCACCACAATGATGTTCTGCTATGATGGAGAAACACTGAAACAAGCAGCATTTACCTTCTTCCATCTATTCTCTATGTTAAAGAAATGATACTCTTCTGTTTGGATGTTGATCATCTTTCTCCAAACTGGATTTGTCTCAATAACCCTTCTCCTCTTTTTCATGTTTTCCAGATTCATCAGGAGAAATCATCCTGACTCAGTCTCCTAAAGCTCAGTCTGTTGTTCCAGGACAGACTGTCTCTATCAGATGTAAAGCCAGTTCAGGTGTTAGCAATGATTTGCAGTGGTACCTTCAGAAACTTGGAGAAGCTCCTAAACTCCTCATTTATAATGCTCAGTCCCGTCAGTCTGGAGTTTCAGAGCGTTTCAGTGGGAGTCAGTCTGGAACTGACTTCACTTTGACCATCAGTGGAGTTCAGACTGAAGATGCAGGAGTTTATTACTGTCAGCAGGATTACAGCAGACCGTTCACACAGTGAAAAAGTGTCGTACAAAAACCTCCCTCAGCTGAGAGGAACTGATCTGAATCAACAGCTGCATGGAAACTAAACAGCAACAAGATACAACTAAAACACACCTCATAATTACATGTAGTTCTAATAATACGGCATTTAAAATAATCAATCACATTTTAATTTTTTTCGCACGTTATTCTTTTTAGGCAAAGATAAATGTTTTAACCTTTGCATTTGATACAACTGATGTCAAGTCTCTCATCAGACAGGTTTATACAGATATGTTAGTTACTGTAATTATATCTAGAGTTAATAATATTATAAAATTAATATTTTCCCACAATGCATTGTACATCTACAGTAGCTGAACACAGTTTACAGAATAACAAACTCTCTTTATATATGTGTAGCACCCCAACACTCAGTAAATGCCTATGTTAAAGGAACTCACCTTGGACTTGAATGATGGGGTGTTTGGGTTCGATTCATTAAGGTAGCTACCACGAAGGTTTACCTGTTTTGTGTGCAACTTTTTATAGCCTAATACTTTATGAATAACCAACAACACTGTTAGACTAAGCAGTGGCTCTATTCACACATACTGTACACTATATTAAATAACTGACCCCAGACAACTCTTTCAAATAAATGCAATAATATTTTACTAACCAGTGGTTTGCAGTGTAACACAAATAATATTTACTTTGTTAGTTAAGAAGAAACAAAAATGAAATAACACAATTACCCAAATCAGACTTCTTTAAAATAAAAGTATTATAGTTGAAATACTAAATTGTAAACAAAATACCCTTTACCAAAATTGGCAAAACACTGTAGAAAATCAGACACTTGTAATAAGCAAAATAGATTTGGCAATATCAAAATACTATTCAAAACTTAAATTATCTCAGGTCTCTAACATTCCTAGTTCTTACCACTTTAATATGATTTACCTGTACTCATCAGACTCAGATCAAATATGCTACTTAACTAAACTCTAAACAAAACAGTGGGCCCACACACACACACACACACACACACACACACACACACACACACACACACACACACACACACACACACTGTATATAACTAATATAATGTTCATAATGTATATATCTTTCATATTGTGTATTGTCTGAATATTTCGACTTATTGTATTGTATTTTGATGCTTTTGCTTTGGCAAAAACTTTCATGCCAATAAAGCCCATTTTGAATTGAATTTGAATTGAATTGAAAGCAGTTTGGTAGTCAGCCCATGCATGTTCAGCCTGTATATTTTAGATTTCTTTTCATTCCAGTTTTGCAGGTTTGACCAAGTCTTCAGCAGATGAGGTTAAATATCTTCAATCACATGTTTGAGAGAGATTTAGCTGTCTAGATTTAACTAGAAAGAGTTTCCAACATATGTCAGCATTTTTTTATAAACATTAATATGTTGTTGTGCACATACACATTATACACAAAAAGTGTCCAGTATGGGGAAACCCAATGAAACAGCATGTGTGCACATTTTTCACTCATGCTATGTTATTTATTATTTTTAGCTATTTTTCCCAGATTGTATTAACTATCAACAATGATATGAAAATCTTATTCTGACATTGGTTATAATCCTGCACATGTGGAAATATGGAATAAGACATCTATTGTTGGTAAACAGGGATCCATGAAAAATTATTTGATCTAAAGATAGAAAATATCTTTTGATTGATGTATAGCATTTACAGCATTGGCATTATTGGGACAATGAAAATGTCATAATCTGAAGTTCAAATTTGTTCAAATTTGTTAAATTGGTGGAATGATAGAAAGTGCAGATTTAAGGCTGTAGCAAGGTAAAAACAGAAGCAGAGTCCCAGTGAGTCCGGTCAGTACTGAGAACATGGTCTCTCATACATTTCCATAGAGAGCCACTTTGCATCAGCAGCACCATGCTCCAGTGCTCTGGGAGAGTTTATAGTCCTGAGAGTTGAACACTGGATGACTGACAGCTGACCTTCATGACAACAGAAGACACAGAAATCCTCCCTCATCAAAAACATGACTTTGATCTCCGTCCTCATCTGGACTCTCCTCTGCTGCTGCTTCACAGGTAAAGTCCAGAGAATCAAACTCCTCTCCTCTATGAACATCCGTCCCTCTGAAATGAAGCCCACAAAACCATGACGCTGCTTTATGTTTTTGTCTCTGTATCCTCAGAGTCCAGAGGCCAGGTCACAGTGACTCAGTCTGGAGCAGTGATCTCTGCTCTGGGAGGCTCCGTCACCATCACATGTAGGACCAGTCAGAATGTTCGTGTTTGGAGCAACAACCACCTTTTAGCCTGGTACCAACAGAGAGATGGAGAAACTCCTAAACTGCTCATTTACTATGCTAGCACCCGAGCATCAGGGATTCCAGGTCGTTTTACAGGCAGTGGATCAAACTCTGACTTCACTCTGACCATCAGTGGAGTCCAGACTGAAGATGCAGCAGTTTACTACTGTCAGAGTGATCACTATATCAACAGTCAGTATGTGTTCACACAGTGAAAAAGCGTCGTACAAAAACCTCCCTCAGTCAGACTGAACAGAAACTGAACTGACTGCTGCAGCTGGAAGCTACTGCAGAGACTGATACACTTCACTGAGGACACACACACGCACACACACACACACACACACACACACACACACACACACACACACACACACACACACACACACACACACATATACATACACACACACACCAGAAGATTAACTGGAGACATAACAAGACAAAAGTGACCTACGTGATATAAATATATCAACATAAAAAACAAATTTTCTTTTATATGCAACTAAAATACCACACAAAGACATTGAGACTGAAAATGAATTGTTGACGTTGGAAATACCCAGACAATCTCTGTACAACATCCATCCACTAACTGTTGTGGAGCTTTCAATCATATCACTTCAATTCAATTCAATTTTATTTGTATAGCGCCAATTCATAACAGAAGTTATCTCAGGACACTTTTCAAACAGAGCAGGTCTAGACCGAACTCTTTAAAACATTTACAAAGACCCAACAGTACCACCATGAGCAAGCACTTGGCGACGGGGGCAAGGAAAAACTGCCTCTTAAGAAGCAGAAACCTAGGACAGACCTTCTGGCTCTATGTTGGTGGATCACATGATCTTCTTCAGCTGATGGAGTCTCCCAGTTGTCACTGAATTGTAGTTGTTCAAATTCCCATTCCTCTGAGCATTTTCAGGACTTCTTGTCCATGTTGGCATCAAAGTTAAAATATTCCATGACAACTGGGTGAACTCCATCTGCTGAGGAAGACCATGGGATTTGATCAAAAGCTCCAGAACAGCGACTGAATGGAGCTTGAGCAGAAATTGATTTAACTGTTAAACATGTTAAATGTTGTGACCTTTTTATATTTTTTCAGAGACATAAAACCTACCATAATTTCTCTTTTTATTATATTTTCTGGGGCTTTATGCCTTTTTCATTGATTAGACAGCTCAATATAGACAGAACAGGGGGAGAGAGAGAGACCACAGGTCAGACTCGAGTTGATGTATTGTTTTGAACTATCTGAAGACTCTAAAATGCAGCAAGGAGAGAGAGAGAGAGAGAGAGAGAGAGAGAGAGAGAGAGAGAGAGAGAGCAGTTTGGTAGTCAGCCCATGCATGTTCAGCATGTATATTTTAGATTTCTTTTCATTCCAGTTTTGCAGGTTTGACCAAGTCTTCAGCAGATGAGGTTGAATATCTTCAATCACATGTTTGAGAGAGATTTAGCTGTCTAGATTTAACTAGAAAGAGTTTCCAACATAAGTCACTTGTTTTTTCTAGACATTAATATGAACATCCACATAAGTTGTTGTGCACATACATGTGTCCAGTTTAGCCCCACCCAAATTAAAATACGTTCCCCCACACGTCTGAGTGTCTCCTTGAGCTCAGGAAGTTCTTTAAAAACTGATTCTGATGGAAAGGTTTTTTTAAATGTGTGTGAACAATGTTGTTTCACGTCTTTCTCACACACACATTAAAAAAGTGTCCAGTATGGGGAAACCTGATGAAACAGGTTGTGTGCACATTTTTTATCATGTTATCTTATTTTTATTTTTATTTATTTTTCCTCGATTGTATTTACTATCAACAATGATGAGAAAATCTTACTCTGACATTGGTTATAATCCTGCACATGTGAAAATATGTAATTAGACATCTGTTGTTAGTGTACAGGGATCCATGAAAGAAACATTTGATCCAAAGAAAGAAAATCTCTTTATTGACTTACAGCATTAACAGCATCGGCATTATTGGAACAATAAAAATGTCATGATCTAAAGTTTAATTCAGTTAAAATGTTGGAATGATAGAAAGTGCAGATTTAAAGCTGTAGCAAGGTAAAAACAGAAGCAGAGTCCCAGTGAGTCCGGTCAGTACTGAGAACATGGTCTCTCATACATTTCCATAGAGAGCCACTTTGCATCAGCAGCACCATGCTCCAGTGCTCTGGGAGAGTTTATAGTCCTGAGAGTTGAACACTGGATGACTGACAGCTGTCCTTCATGACAACAGAAGACACAGAAATCCTCCTCATCAAAAACATGACTTTGATCTCCGTCCTCATCTGGACTCTCCTCTGCTGCTGCTTCACAGGTAAAGTCCAGAGAATCAAACTCCTCTCCTATATGAACATCCGTCCCTCTGAAATGAAGCCCACAAAATCATGACGCTGCTTTATGTTTTTGTCTCTGTATCCTCAGAGTCCAGAGGCCAGGTCACAGTGACTCAGTCTGGAGCAGTGAGCTCTGCTCTGGGAGGCTCCGTCACCATCACATGTAGGACCAGTCAGAATGTTTATAGCTCCGATCGTTTAGCCTGGTACCAACAGAGAGATGGAGAAACTCCTAAACTGCTCATTTACTATACTAGCACTCGAGCATCAGGGACTCCAGGTCGTTTTACAGGCAGTGGATCAAACTCTGACTTCACTCTGACCATCAGTGGAGTCCAGACTGAAGATGCAGCAGTTTACTACTGTCAGAGTTATCACTATATCAACAGTCAGAATGTGTTCACACAGTGAAAAAGCGTCGTACAAAAACCTCCCTCAGTCAGACTGAACAGAAACTGAACTGACTGCTGCAGCTGGAAGCTACTGCAGAGACTGATACACTTCACTGAGGACACACACACACACACACACACACACACACACTCACACACACACACACACACACAATGGAATTATCATAAAAAAAGAGATAACAAATAATTATTGGTCCTACACAAACAGTTTCATTATAAAGAACTAATGGACAGTTCAGACAACATTAGGATATGATCACATTTTTGTCATTACTAACAAACACATTTTACTCATTAAAGAGACAATGAACCAGACTGTGACTGTTAGTGAGACATGGCTCTGTGTGGCTCATGACTGACCTCAATAAGTAGTACTGTACACTGTAACTGATTATTAAGATGGTAACATTGAGGTAATATGTTTCAGTAACAGGACTCAACTGGTCATAATGTGGTTATTACAGATGTAACAACAGCTCATGGGGCAGGGGGACAGTGGGAATTGGGAAAGGGACAGAAAAAGTAAATTGTTTAGCAGACATGGGATGTATATTTCATTATTTATCAGAATTAGATCATTTAATATATCATTTATATTGTTTATGATAGATTGTCAGTGTGTTTTCTTGCCTGATTCACTCACAGAAACAATAGAAAATCACTCAAACTATTGCTACACCTCACAGGACAGCCACGGAGGGGCCCACACAAAGCATAGCCTAGGGGCCCATGACCGACTTAATCCACCACAGGTAACAGCATAATAAAGACACAAAAACCTGACAATTATTGGGGGAAAATCAAGGTTGTTCATTAGTTTCCTTAATATAAAAGGCAGCAGGTATGATTTATTTATCCAGGTTTTGAAACGTCACTGACATTTCTCAACCTCATACAAAGGAGGTGAATGAAATGTTCACACACTGCTCTGTGGACAGTTTGCATAGGGAGTAATTCTTCAGAGTTAAATTGTTCCTGTATTACTGTGTTCTTTGGATCATCTATTCACCTCCATTGAGTTGGACACCATTTTGATAGAACAAAACATATTGCTACTGTAGTTTTAAAAATGCTTTATCTTTGCTGAAAGCTCTACAAATGAAATTTCTTCCACCTGCATTTTATTGGGGTGGAGGCAGAAATCTCAGGATCCTGAATATTAAATCATATGTTCATGGAGAGATACCACTGGGCAAAGAGAAACTAATTTATATTACAGGTACTTTGGGTGAACTGACTGTAGCGTATTTGAGGAAAAGATAAAAATGTTCTGTGAAAAGTTTTCACACAACAATGCAACTCCCAAATATTGATGTACATCACTATTGTAAGGTATTATTCTTATATCATCACTCATTATGGTTCTTAAGTTGAATCTATGTTTCATGAAACACTGAAGTTCTGTGTGTGCAATGAAGCAACAGCTGCACTGAGGGGGAAACACCATGATATGTTGAGGACAGCTACAGTTCACTGACTCTGTGTGTTTGCATATGTGTCCTTCCTCTCTGCTCCCAGCCGTTAAGAGGCCAGTGTTGATCAGTGGCTGTCCAGGCCTTTCAGAGCCACTTACACGCCGGCAGCACAATGATAATGTCACTGACTCTACTGCTGGCCACCCTGGGGCTCCTTGTTCAGGGTGAGACTCTCTTCTGAAAACTTTGCTTCAGGATGCAACCAGGTTCACCACAATGATGTTCTGCTATGATGGAGAAACACTGAAACAAGCAGCATTTACCTTCTTCCATCTATTCTCCATGTTAAAGAAATGATACTCTTCTGTTTGGATGTTGATCTTTCTCCAAACTGGATTTGTCTCAATAACCCTTCTCCTCTTTTTCATGTTTTCCAGATTCATCAGGAGAAGTCATTGTGACTCAGTCTCCTAAAGCTCAGTCTGTTGTTCCAGGACAGACTGTCTCTATCAGATGTAACGTTAGTCCAAGCACTGGTTACTGCTTCAGCTGGTACCTTCAGAAACCTGGAGAATCTCCTAAACTCCTAATTACTTGTGGTTCAACCCGTCAGTCTGGAGTTTCAGATCGTTTCAGTGGGAGCGGATCTGGTAGTGATTACACTCTGACCATCAGTGGAGTCCAGACTGAAGATGCAGCAGTTTACTACTGTCAGAGTTTTCATTCTCTCAGTCAGTATGTGTTCACATAGTGAAAAAGCGTCGTACAAAAACCTCCCTCAGCTGAGAGGAACTGATCGCAATCGACAGCCGCATGGAAACTAAACGACAACAAGATACAACTAAAACACACCTCATAATTACATGAAATTCTAATAATACAGAATTTAATATAATCAATCACATTTTCATTTTTTTCACAATTTGTTTTTATTTAGGCAAAGATAAATGTTTTAACCTTTGAGTTTGAGACAACTGATGTCAAGTCTCTCATCAGACATGTTTATACAGATATGTTAGTAACTGTAATTATATCTAGAGTTAATAATATTATAAAATTAATATTTTCCCACAATGCATTATACATCTACAGTAGCTGAACACAGTTTACAGAGTAACAAACTCTCTTTATATATATATTAAAAGTCAGTTCTAATGGTCGTTTTTATGTCCATCAGATCAATTTACAAAATAAGTAAGGATATTACAGATGAAATATTGACACAAAAAATTGCATATATTTATTAAAATAATTAAATGTCTTTCACAATCTTTCAAATATTAAATTTAAAGTAATTATTCAATAATACTAATTAACTGAAGTGTTTAGTTAAATAAGAATCCACCTCAAAAATAGAATTTAAGTCATACATTAAAAGTATTGTGATTATATTTATATATTAATATATATATATATATATATATATATATATATATATATTATAACGTCTGTTAATTTTACAATAACAACAGTAACAGCAAAACATCTATTGTCAGGTTGTACTGAAAGAGCTGTGACATGTATAACACATTCCCATCATTTGTTCATGACACCATGAGCTAAAATGGTCAAATCCTAAAAATCTTTCTCTGAGACACACTTTGTCATTGTAAATTTAATGAATTTCAGACTGACACATGACAGCAGTTCATGACTTGACTTAGAATAGAATATAATAAAATGCCTTTATTGTCACTGTACACATGTACGATGAGATTAGAAAGCCAACTCCAATAGCAGTGCAAAAACCAGTACAATTATCATTTATTATTCTTATTTAATTAATTGTTTTTTATTGATTGTAAATGTTATTAACTCATTCATGAAGTCCTGTGGTGAATCAGTAATTTGAAGTTTTAATATTCTTGGAGGAAAATCTCAGATCAAAAATATTGTATATCACTTGATGCGGATGATGTGCTGCTCTGTGTATCTAACTATGAAAATCTCTATCTGAACTTTTTTGAAAAATATGGTAAAGATTTTTGACAATTTCAAGGGACAGATCTAACCCTTGTTACATAATGAATCATCCTCATATTCAGACTTGACTGATAAAAGATAGGTGATCTTGTAAATGGTCAAAACATGGGTATAATTAACAAGGTATATTAAAGCATATACAACTGACAATTATAGAGGAACTTTTCTAATGTTTCTAAATACGTATAAACATGCTGAATGAATAATACTCTCATGAAAACTGTTGATTTTATTAAATCTTTATTATTTTTAAATCTTGAAACCATTGGGAGAGAGAGAGAGAGAGAAAGAGAGAGAGAGAGAGAGAGAGAGAGAGAGAGAGAGAGAGAGAGAGAAAGAGTGAGAGAGAGAGCAATGGTATTGCAGAGTGCAGACTGAGAGCAGTAGCAGAGTGAAACCAGTATCAGAGTCCCAGTGAGTCAGGTTATGACTAGGAACACTGGTCTCTCCTCATTGTCTCTGAGAGCGGAGTCTGGGAGCCCTGGGTGGCCTCACAGGTCACAGAGCCCACCTTCCTCCAGTGGTCTGCAGAGAGCCTCAGGGTGCTGCTCCAGCTGTAGTGGCCGTCCTTCAGCACCCCGGGGCTCCTGCTCTCCTCCCAGCTGCTGCTGCTGCTGCTGCTGCCGTCCACCTTCCAGGACAGACTCCAGTCTGAGGGGGAAGCCCTTGTTGGCCAGACACATGAGCGTGGCCTTCCCCCTGCTGCAGCTCCTCACTGGAGGGGGGGCAGCACAGTCAGGGTGGGACGGACATCACCTAGGAGACACCAATCAGCTTAGAGGACAGGGACCACACAGCTGTCAATCAAGCAGCAGACACTTGGACACCTTTACTGTGTGAGAGTTGATTTTTCTCCTTTAAGGAGTTTCTGTCAGATGGTTTTTCTGCTCCACCAGTCACTCACTCACACATTGTTTCACTTCCCTTTAAGAAGCCTCTCATGCATATCAGCACAGAGAGAATCATCATACAGAATGAGCTGAAATATATCAAACTACACTGGAAATAAAATATCAAAAACTGTATCATCAAAATCATCCAAAACCTGAACTATACATTACTTTAAAGTATTTAGTGGAAACATGAACAAACACAGAAAATGAACTGACTACAATCAAATGTTCTTCATGTGGATTTAAATCATCATTACCAAACTGTAACTTTAAAACAATATATAACACTATGAAGAGATTTTGAACATTTACTCATCTTTATCTTCACTACGTTCAATTTGACTATAATAATTTTATCTTAATTCATTTAAAAACAATATTTTCTGACATCAAAAAGTAAAAGTGAATCTTAAAAATGAAACATTTGTACAAAAAGGTTTGCAGTTTTATCTTTTCTACACTTCATGCTGTTTGAATTTCAGTTTGACAGGAATGTGTAAAGAACAAAGAGTTAGCCTCCATGATGAAGGAGGACAGGTACAAACATGAATACTTCAAGTGTTTAAATTAAAACAAACTATATCTGTCTGCTTCAAACATCCAAAGACTGTATATAAAACATTACTTTACAATATTGTATTTAGTATTTGTGCAGAAACTTACTTCCAACTTCCAGTCTGGTTCCTCCACCAAAAGTCCACCACAGTGATACAAACTCATTGAGCCGCCGTACAAAAACCTCTCACTGTAGAGAGACACGGCTCTCTGACTTTGACACACTGAACTAAACCTACAAACCCTCAAGATGAAGCTTTACCATTAAAGTTGGAATTACTGATTCATATTCTGTATTGATATTTTAAATTGACTTCAATTAGGTTTTGAATTTATATTCCTGATGCAAAGTTTGTCTCTGAGTGTAAAGTATTTCTGCAGAAGATATACATTAATATGAAAAATCAAGAATTCTTCCTGAAATATATATAAAAAGACAAATATGTCCTGAAATAATAAAAAATTAAAGATTTGACTTACTTCCAACATCCAGTCTGGTTCCTCCACCAAAAGTCCACCACAGTGATACAAACTCATTGAGCCGCCGTACAAAAACCTCTCACTGTAGAGAGACACGGCTCTCTGACTTTGACACAAACAAACTCAGCAAGCGCATTCCCAGTTTACCCAGTTCATCTAATAACTGGTTAAAGTGTCTAAAAAATAAACTATGAATATATATTTAATCTTTTTGTATGATAAAAGCTGTATTAATTCATGTTACATTGAAACGATGAAACAAGATATTTCAAAGTAAAAGTCTCCAATAAATGATGACAAATGTAAATAATGATCATAAACATATGTTTATTGTATATTATGATGAATATAAAATAAATAAAAGATAATATATTTGTTTAAATGTGTCCCACAGTGATGTTGATCTGTGTGGTAGTGAATTAGGGGGAATTCACTAAATATTCTGGAAGAAAATGTGTCCATCAAACTGAAAGCAAAGCCTCATACAAATGAGCACTGACACATTCCTAATCAATACTCTGATAAAGTGATTGATCCATTGATAAACAGCATCATGAGAGGAATCCAAGTCCCTGTTGGAGTCAGTCAGAGCATTTCCATAGAGAGCCACTTTGCATCAGCAGCACCATGCTCCAGTGCTCTGGGAGAGTTTATAGTCCTGAGAGTTGAACACTGGATGACTGACAGCTGTCCTTCATGACAACAGAAGACACAGAAATCCTCCTCATCAAAAACATGACTTTGATCTCCGTCCTCATCTGGACTCTCCTCTGCTGCTGCTTCACAGGTAAAGTCCAGAGAATCAAACTCCTCTCCTCTATGAACATCCGTCCCTCTGAAATGAAGCCCACAAAACCATGACGCTGCTTTATGTTTTTGTCTCTGTATCCTCAGAGTCCAGAGGCCAGGTCACAGTGACTCAGCCTGGAGCAGTGAGCTCTGCTCTGGGACGCTCCGTCACCATCACATGTAGGACCAGTCAGAATGTTCAGTTTTGGAGCAACAAACATCTTTTAGCCTGGTACCAACAGAGAGATGGAGAAACTCCTAAACTGCTCATTTACTATGCTAGCACTCGAGCATCAGGGATTCCAGGTCGTTTTACAGGCAGTGGATCAAACTCTGACTTCACTCTGACCATCAGTGGAGTCCAGACTGAAGATGCAGCAGTTTACTACTGTCAGAGTCAACATCACATCAACAGTCAGAGTGTGTTCACACAGTGAAAAAGCGTCGTACAAAAACCTCCCTCAGTCAGACTGAACAGAAACTGAACTGACTGCTGCAGCTGGAAGCTACTGCAGAGACTGATACACTTCACTGAGGACACACACACACACATACACACACACCTACACACACCATCAGTCAACATGTATTAAAACACGTTCAGTGACAAATGTATCTGGTTTGTAAAATTATCAAGCGAAGCCAATGAGAGAGTTAATGAGAGCTGTCTTGGTCATGACCTTTGACCTCTGCTTTATTCCGGATCACAGCTATTTCAAATACATCCAATTAACAAAGAGTATAAAGACTAATATCAGAAATGTTCAAGTATTAAAATAAATAAATAAAATAAAGATTAACTGGAGACATAACAAGACAAAAGTGACCTACGTGATATAAATATAACAACATAAAAAAACACATTTTCTTTTATATGCAACTAAAATACCACACAAAGACATTGAGACTGAAAGTTATTGGTTGACGTTGGAAATACCCAGACAATCTCTGTACAACATCCATCCACTAACTGTTGTGGAGCTTTCAATCATATCACATGATCTTCTTCAGCAGATGGAGTCTCCCAGTTGTCATTGAATTGTAGTTGTTCAAATTCCCATTCCTCTGAGCATTTTCAGGACTTCTTGTCCATGTTGGCATCAAAGTTCAAATATTCCCTGACAACTGGGTGAACTCCATCTGCTGAGGAAGACCATGGGATTTGATCAAAAGCTCCAGAACAGCGACTGAATGGAGCTTGAGCAGAAATGTATTTGATTGTTAAACATGTTAAATGTTGTGACCTTTTTATATTTTTTCAGACATAAAACCTACCATCATTTCTCTTTTGAACATAATTTTTGGGGCTTTATGCCTTTTTCATTGATTAGACAGCTCAATATAGACAGAACAGGGAGAGAGAGAGACCACAGGTCAGACTCGAGTTGATGTATTGTTTTGAACTATCTGAAGACTCAAAACTACAGCAAGGAGAGAGAGAAAGAGAGAGAGAGAGAGAGAGAGAGAGAGAGAGAGAGAGAGAGAGAGAGAGAGAGAGAGAGAAAAGTCAGCCCATGCATGTTCAGCCTGTATATTTTAGATTTCTTTTCATTCCAGTTTTGCAGTTTTGACCAAGTCTTCAGCAGATGAGGTTGAATATCCTCAATCACATGTTTGAGAGAGATTTAGCTGTCTAGATTTAACTAGAAAGAGTTCCCAACATATGTCAGTGGTTTTTTCTAAACATTTATATGAACATCCACATAAGTTGTTGTGCACATGCACGTGTCCAGTTCAGCCCCACCCAAATTAAAATACGTTCCCCCACACGTCTCAGTGTCTCCTTGAGCTCAGGAAGTTCTTTAAAAACGTACTCTGATGGAAAAAGGATTTTTTAAATGTGTGTGAACAATGTTGTTTCACGTCTTTCTCACACACACATTAAAAAGTGTCCAGTATGGGGAAACCTGATGAAATAGGCTATTTTTCCTGGATTGTATTAACCATAAACAATGATGAGGAAATCTTATTCTGACATTTGTTATAATCCTGCACATGTGAAAATATGGAACTAGACATATGTTATATTTGATCCATAGAAAGAAAATATCTTTATTGGCTTACAGCATTAACAGCATCGGAATTATTGGGACAATAAAAATGTCATAATCTGAAGTTCAATTCTGTTAAAATGGTGGAATGATAGAAAGTGCAGATTTAAAGCTGTAGCAAGGTAAAAACAGAAGCAGAGTCCCAGTGAGTCCGGTCAGTACTGAGAACGTGGTCTCTCATACATTTCCATAGAGAGCCACTTTGCATCAGCAGCACCATGCTCCAGTGCTCTGGGAGAGTTTATAGTCCTGAGAGTTGAACACTGGATGACTGACAGCTGTCCTTCATGACAACAGAAGACACAGAAATCCTCCTCATCAAAAACATGACTTTGATCTCCGTCCTCATCTGGACTCTCCTCTGCTGCTGCTTCACAGGTAAAGTCCAGAGAATCAAACTCCTCTCCTCTATGAACATCCGTCCCTCTGAAATGAAGCCCACAAAACCATGACGCTGCTTTATGTTTTTGTCTCTGTATCCTCAGAGTCCAGAGGCCAGGTCACAGTGACTCAGTCTGGAGCAGTGAGCTCTGCTCTGGGACGCTCCGTCACCATCACATGTAGGACCAGTCAGAATGTTCATGTTTGGAGCAACAACCACCTTTTATCCTGGTACCAACAGAGAGATGGAGAAACGCCTAAACTGCTCATTTACTATGCTAGCACTCGAGCATCAGGGACTCCAGGTCGTTTTACAGGCAGTGGATCAAACTCTGACTTCACTCTGACCATCAGTGGAGTCCAGACTGAAGATGCAGCAGTTTACTACTGTCAGAGTTATCATGAAATCAACAGTCAGAGAGTGTTCACACAGTGAAAAAGCGTCGTACAAAAACCTCCCTCAGTCAGACTGAACAGAAACTGAACTGACTGCTGCAGCTGGAAGCTACTGCAGAGACTGATACACTTCACTGAGGACACACACACACACACACACACACACACACACACACACACACACACACACTAAACAGTCTGCAGGAGAACAGTGGAAATGAACCTGTATATGGTACTGAACCGATAGAGGGAATAGACACTTTTCATGGCAGACATTTTGACTTGCCAAAGCAGGAAAAGCACAGGTGTATTTATTACATTAATGATGGCTGCATTACATTTAGGTGAACCAGTCTCAGAGCTCTGGTACTGTGCATGCTCACTCACTGAAAGGCCTTACTGGGACACTGAATGAAACAGAGCCAGTGTTACAGTTTTCTTCAATTGCTAACAAGCGTTTACCTAAACTTAAGAGACTTTATCGAAACTCTTAACACAGCAACACACCTACCTCACACTATTAGCCAAATAGTACATTTTCTGCTCAAAACCACATTTCGTTCTTTAAACACCAACTCTACATTTCAAAATGCAAAAACATTCTCTATATACACAAACTCTATCAAAACACAGCAAACCTGACTCAAAATCAAATCATTCGGTTAAAACACTAGCACATTTTCTTTCCAAGAGGAACAGATCAATCAATCATAGCACAACAACTTTCTAAATACAAACAGTTGATAGCATTACAAAAACTCCATAACTTTTCATGCTCTACCTGCAAACAGTAGACAATGAGAAATCCATTGTTTTTTTTAATTCAGTTTCATTTTACTGTAAACCACCCTACATTTTTGGCTTGAAGGTCAAATGTGTGCATTTTTGGCAACAAACTACGCAAAAGTGAATGAGTCATCTTTACTTTATAGAATGTACAGTAGAAAAAATTGTAAGCGACAAAATTGCAGAAGTTAAAGCTTTACAATATTATCAGCATGAAATTGCAGCCAGTGATCAACAAATAATCCAAACTATGTGTCCTTTGGTTCAAAATGTGTCAAAATACTGTCAGATACACAATTTGACAACAAAAAAGAGGCACAGATGGGAAAGAAACAAAAATGCACAGTCCTGTTCTAATCCATACGATCTTCAGCATCTGGCGCATGTTCTCATCCTCATCACATCTAATGTCATCTCTCGCTATGCACCTTGGATAGAAACGCTTGGCATGCCTTATCCACCTCTGGCCCTCTTCCTCTCCCTAGCCCAACTATTCGTCTTCCTTATCCAGACATTATTATTTCTTTCTCTTCTCATCTGTGTTGCTCTGTATCCACATTGAATAAACTCAGTCCAGAAAGTCCCCTTTATACTGCATTGTGTATGTCATTGAAAGAACTTCCACACCTGGCTATGTCTCTGATTGAGATTGGAATTAGCTGTGGTTGATCTATTTTACCCAAATTACAAAAATCAGCTATTTCTCAATGTTTCATTGATATGTTTATTACGTTTTTTTTTTTCCAATTGCTAACACACTAAAATGACATGCATAGCACAATTCTTTAAAGTGACACACAGAGAGCAAAACCTCTTCTCAAGTCTCCAAAACTCTAAACACATTTTCTGCTTTACACACATTTTTAAATGCACTGAACACGGTTCTCTGCATAAGACACAACAATCTGACATAAAGTCACATGTTTGCCATTTCAAAACACTGCCAATCAAAATGACACTACATGAGCTAATTGGCCAATATATGTGCCACCTGGCCAAACACCTCAATGGTTAATTGTTAGTGCATATGTTGCACTGACTTGTTTGGTGAAAAATAAAAAAATAAATGTTTCAACAGAGTGTGTGTGTGTGTGTGTGTGTGTGTGTGTGTGTGTGTATCTGCAAATATTTCTGTGCATGTGAACAATCTGAATAATTTTCTACAGTTTGAACTATTTTAGTATTATGTCAAAGCATACTGAAGATGAGAGTGTTTTTCATTATGCCCAACAGTGTGTAGTTGGTTAGACAAACATCTGGTAATATGAATGAAGTGTGTGCCATTTGGTGCAAAGTTTGATTTTGATAATGCTATATGTAGTTTTGGTTGCAGTGCTTCATTTTGCAGGATATATGAGGGATTTTGCAGTTTGGGTGTGTGGTTTTGGGAAAAGTGTTTAGTATTTTGATAAAACCAGCCTAGTTTGCAAAATTGTGTTTTAGCAATTAGAAAAAACTGTAATAAATGCTTATCAGCTGTTTCAATATATATTTTGAACTTCTTTTGTTGCAGAAGTAGAGGCTTCATGGAATATTTAAGGTTTTGTTCATAAGGTCTTTATTTCTGACATGTTGTGTGTAAGCATTTGTAAATAACACAAAAAACATCCATAGTTTTGGTATTGGGTGAGCTTGTACGTAAAGAAAAACTTAGCATTGCAGAAATGGGTCAATTGACTGCATATTCTGTGGAAACAACATGAATTGTGTTAATTGTATGGGATGAACAGACCAATGTGGGGCTAACTGTGTTTAGAGTTTTGAAAATGTGACTACAGATTGGGCAAAAAGATGTTAGCAATTGAAAAAAACCTGTAATGTTATTATTACACCTGTGCTTTACCTGCTTTGATCAGTCAAAATGTATGTAATAGAATATTTATTTTTATTTCTTAGTATTTAAATTTAATTTGAAATTCATATTTAAGCCAGTTTAGTTTTCAACAAACTTACATACACTACATAATTTGAATGACCTTGTGTTTATATGAAAATACACAATTTATGTTATAATTTGAATACAAACTGCTGA